AACCAGCATAATAGTCCAAACAAGCAACCGACTGAACTGATAAAAAGAGCCACCAAACCAGCATAGGCAATAGGCCAAGCACCCAACCAAAAGAGGATAGAAGCCCAACGCTAGATCAAACAAAAACCCAGAATTTGTAGTTTTGCACTAACCAACTAGTAGAGCAGCCCTTTGGGAAATTCCCCCAAAAAGAATGCACAAACATAAGCCAGGGAAACCAACCCTCCATCAGCGTAAAAACAACACCCAAAAAAAACCAAATAAGCACCTTCGTGGGACAGCACATAACCCAAACTAGAGCAAACTGAAGGCCAAACATCAACAACAAAGGAGAATTAGGATTCAATTGCAGTTTTCAGCTCTGAATTTGCACCAACATTTGGAGGCCCAAATGAACTCAAAAGTTGACAAACCAAACCTTTCTAAAAAGCTTGAGATGTCTACTTTAACTTCACAGAGGGCCCTGAACTCAAATTAAAACTCTAAGTCGATCAAAAACCTGCAAACAGTCCAAAACATCCAAAAGTAAAAATGCTAGAAATTTCAGGCTTTAAGCATAATTCACTAACACATTACCACAAATGCCTTATACATAAAAATAAATATACTTCAGCACCATAAGATGTAAAACATGTGTTAAATGTGAAGCCTTAAAGCGACACCGTTTAACTTAAGCCAAGAAATTCCAAAACAACACTATTGTGACTGAAACCGACGCTCAATCCTGATCGTTGGTTTGAATCCAGATCTAACGGCTGAAGACTTAGGCTGAGTCAAACCTATAAAAGCTGATGACTCTTTAGTTTTTCAATAATGTGTTTTTCTCTTTGTTTTGATATCTCTCTGAGTTACAAATTAGGGTTCAAGATTAGGGTTTGTTCGTGTGAGTGTAAATTTGCTGGAAATCTATCCATTGAGTTGTGTTTCTTAGTGGGGAGGGAACCTGGTGTAGTGTTCTTATCTCAGATTGTAGGTTTACTGTTGTTGGTTCAAATCCTGTTTGATCTTGGTTGAAATCTTGTATGAGAGAGAGGTTGAGGGTTGTAACCGTTCTTGATCGAAATAGAAAGTATGGCAAGCATCCATATTCTGGAGCTCAACGTGGACGTAGCTTGTTCAATATTGAATAATTGAACCACGGTAAATACTGTGTGTTGAATCTGTTTGGTTTGCGTTGATTGTGTGTTTGTTGGTTGATGTTTGCTTGATTTGTTTACGATTATTTACAATAGTGGTATCAGAGCCTTGTATTAGGTCTAAGGTGTATCTAGGTTTAGGAATCTTGATGAATTCAAAAATTAGGGTTTGGTAGAATTTGGGGGTTTTTCGATTTAAAGGTTTTTAGATCATTAGGACTTCAAATCTTGTTGAATCGTGGGCTAATTCTTGAGATTGGGTCACAAACACAAGGGATTGACATTTTTTGGGCAAAAATCAAAATTAGGGTTTCGTTAGAATTTGGGGGTTTTCTTTCAAATTAGGGTTTCGAATCATACTGCATCTGTTTAAGAGTATTTCAGCTGGAACACTAGTGACCACCTTAAAAACTGCCTGGCAGTACTTGGCAACCTCTGGTTTAACAACACCACATACTTCTTAAACTGTTTTTCTTTTCTGTTTTTGCCCTGTCATTACAGTATAATGAGCACTACTTGTATGGAGATCTCCCAATACGATGGGAAGATCGACTTTAATACATGGAAAAAGAAAATGAAGGCTTTGTTATCACACAACAAAGTCGGGATCGCACTTGAAAAGGATGAGTCCAAATGGCCAGAAGAAAAGAAAAAGAAAAAGGCAGAAGTGGACGAAGAAGCATACAATTTGATCATTATGAACCTGTCAAACACCATGCTACAAAAGGTGGATGGTGTGGAATCTCCAATTCCACTCTGGGGTAAACTCGAGTCTCTGTATGCTCTTAAATCTGCCCCTAATTTAGCTTTCTTGAAAGGTGCTTTATTTTCTTATAAGATGGATATAGCTAAATCACTAGATGACAATCTTGATGAATTCTTAAAAATGACCCTAACCCTAAAAGGTACTGACCAGGAACTAAGAGATTCAAGCCTTGCTATGATTCTGTTGAATTCACTACTTGAAGAATATTTAGTAGTTAAGAATGCACTCCAGTATAGTGGGACAGTAACTAGTGTGGACCTGATAGTTTCTAGACTAAAATCTAGGGAATTAGAATTAAAGATCCAGAAGTGTAATAGTAGCAACTTGTTTGTGAAAGGGAACGTTGAGGTTGGGCAATCTAGTAAAGACAATGGAAAGACTCATCAGAGAAATGTAGGCTTTAAAAATAAGAAGAACAGTAAAGTAAATGGTAGAACTAAGGGGGAATCTAGGAAATGTTTCTTCTATAACAAGGTAGGACACCTAAAGAAAAATTGCTATGATTGGATTAAAAAGAACAAACAGAATAGTATAGAGACAAACCTAGCCAGCTCTAGTAGTAACCTAGAAATATCAGAAGCCATTACCATTTCTAATACATCTAGAGGCAGTGAATGGGTACTAGACTCAGGTTATAGCTTCCATATGAGCCCTAACAAGGACTGGTTCCAAAGACTTAAAATTGGGGAGCAGGAAACTGTTTTTATGGGTAATAACCACTCCTGTGAGGTTCAAGGGATAGGGGATATAACCATTAAGCTGAATAATGGTAAGTTAGTATTACTAACTAGGGTCAGGTTTATACCTGAATTAAAACGTAACCTAATTTCCTTGGGAACCTTGGATGAATCAGGCTGTTCTTATAAGGCACAAAATGGTTGTATGGAAGTCTACAAAAATGGAAATGTGTTAATGAAGGGGGTTAAGAAAAATGGGCTCTATATATTGTGTGGACAGTTCTATCCTGATGTTTCTAATTCTGTTTTATTGTCTACTAACATATCTGCTGCAGCAAAATGGCACTTGAGATTAGGCCATATAGGCCAGAATGGTATGAATGCATTGAAACAGCAAGGTTATTTTGGTAGTGATGTTGTAACAGCTCTAGATTTTTGTGAAACCTGCATCCTTGGAAAACAGCACAGGATGAGTTTTCAAAAAGGGACTCATCTTGCTGCAAACTGTCTAGACTATGTCCATGCTGACCTTTGGGGTCCAGAAAAGGTGAAGTCACATGGAGGGAACATATACTTCCTCTCCATTATGGATGATTACAGTAGAAAGGTATGGGTATACCTCCTTAGGACTAAGGATGAAGCCCTAACCAAGTTCAAAGGTTGGAAAACCCTTGTAGAAACACAATTGGATAGAAAGGTCAAAACCCTTAGAACTGATAATGGTCTGGAGTTCTGTAACCTAGAATTTGACACCTACTGCCAAAATCAAGGGCTACAAAGGCATAGAACTATCAGGGCAACCCCTCAACAGAATAGGGTTGCAAAGAGAATGAATAGGACTCTCTTAGAAAGAGTCAGGTGTCTTCTGTTCACTGTTTGGCTACCCAAGACCTTTTGGGGAGAAGCCCTAACTACAGCTGCTTATTTGATCAATAGAAGTCCATCCAGTTCAATAGATTTTAAATGCCCTGAAGAGAGATGGTCTGAAAGGAAACCTAACCTAAATCACCTAAGGGTCTTTGGGTGTGCAGCATATGCACATACCAGAGAGGGTAAGCTTGAACCCAGGTCTCTAAAGTGTGTCTTCTTAGGGTACCAAGACGGTACAAAAGGTCATAGGTTATGGGAGAGAAATGCACCAGGAGTTAGGATCATTATAAGCCAAGATGTAGTCTTTAATAAGCTAACCTTCCCTTGTAAAGTGTCTACTGATAATGCAGGAAACTCAAAAATAGATTCTGAACTGCTTGACCAAACAGAGAGATCACAGTTTGAGGTGGAGCCACAAAACCTGCCAGAGCACTTGGAACAACCTGAACAAACAGAACCAGAAAATGACACATTGCAAAACATTGGGGATCAATATGAAGAAACTGTGCAGCCTAAGAATAATGAAGAAGAACAGGATGAGAACCTAGCAGATTACCAACTGGCCAGAGACAGGGTTAGAAGGGAAATAAGGCCCCCAAATAGATACAACTATGCAGATTTGATCTACACAGCCTTGGTGGCTGGGATAGAAACACTGAGATCTGAACCAAAGACATATCAGGAAGCTGTGAGTTCAAAAGACAGTAAAAAGTAGCTGGAAGCAATGAAAGAGGAGATGAAATCCTTAAGACAAAACAGCACTTGGACTTTGGTCCCAAAACCCATAGACCAGAAGATAATTGACTGCAAATGGCTTTATAAACTGAAGGAAGGTCTAACAAGATCAGACCCTCCAAGATACAAAGCAAGACTGGTGGCAAAGGGCTACACACAAAGGGCAGGTATAGACTTTACAGAAGTTTTCTCTTCTGTGGTTAAATTTAAAACAATTAGACTTATGCTAGCTGCAGTAACTCAATATAATCTAGAACTGGAACAGTTAGATGTTAAAACAACCTTTTTACATGGTGAACTGGAAGAGAAAATTTATATGAGTTAGCCATTAGGGTTTAGAGATAGAAACCTACCTGAGCATGCCTGCCTGTTACACAAGTCCCTATATGGACTCAAACAATCACTAGGCAGTGGTACAAAAGATTTGACTCCTTTATAGTGGGAATTGGGTTCATTAGGAGTGCTTATATTAGCTGTATGTATTATGATTGCTTTAATAACATACCCATGTACTTACTGCTATAAGTAGATGAAATAATAATAATCAGTAAGTCCAAACCTCAAATAGATGAATTAAAAGCAAAATTAAATGCTAAATTTGAGATGACAGATCTAGGATCTGCAAAAAGGATATTAGGGATGATGATTGATAGAAATAGAAAAGAAAATAGACTGAAACTACACCAATTCCCATATCTGCAGAAACTAATATCTAGGTTTGGTTTGACTGGTGCTAAAACTGTAAATGTACCCTTAGCAGGTCATTTCACCTTAAGCAAAGTTCAATCCCCCAAAAATGATGTAGATAGGATTAAAATGGAAAACATCCCATACTCTAGTGCCATAGGATCAGTGATGTATTCAATGATAAGCACTAGGCCTGATCTTTCATTTGCAATATCTCTATTAAGTAGGTTTATGTCAAATCCAGGAATAGAGCATTGGGTTGCCTTAAAATGGACACTTAGATACATTAACACTACAATGCATGTTGGATTAGAGTATTGCAAAAGAACTCTTGCACTTGATCTTGTTGGGTATGTGGATTCTGACTTTGGAGGAGATCGTGATTCAAGGAAGTCCACCACAGCTTATTATTTCACTTTAGGTGGAAACTGCATTAGCTGGAAATCCCAGCTTCAACCATTAGTGTCACTGTCCATAACAGAAGCTGAGTATGTGGCAGTAACTGATGCTTTCAAATAGGCAATCTGGCTACAAGGGATTTTGAAAGAGATAAACTTGATGAATGGCCCTGTGATTGTATATTCTGACAGTCAGAGTGCCATTCATCTAAGTAAAAACCCAGTATACCATGAGAGGATGAAGCATGTGGATGTAAAGTATCATTTTGTTCGAGATCAGATTTCAAAGGGAACTGTCAACCTGCTAAAAATTCCAACTGAAGAAAATCCATCTGATATGGGAACCAAAGTTGTAATTGCTGTAAAGTTCAAGCACTACTTGAACATTCTTCACATCAACTGAATTCAGCAGAGCAAAGAAGGAGTATGAGAACTACTTGTTGCACCTGCTGGTTACTGACAAAGGAAAGAATAAGGCTTCAAGGTGGAGATTGTTAAATGTGAAGCCTTAAAGCAACACCGTTTAACTTAAGCCAAGAAATTCCAAAACGACACTGTTGTGACTTAAACCGACGCTCAATCCTGATTGTTGGTTTGAATCCAGATCTAACGGCTGAAGACTTAGGCTGAGTCAAACCTATAAAAGCTGATGACTCTTCAGTTTTTCAATAACGCGTTTTTCTCTTTGTTTTGATATCTCTCTGAGTTACAAATTAGGGTTCAAGATTAGGGTTTGTTCGTGTGGGTGTAAATCTGTAGGAAATCTGTCCATTGAGTTGTGTTTCTTAGTGGGGAGGGAACTTGGTGTAGTGTTCTTATCTCAGATTGTAGGTTTACTATTGTTGGTTCAAATCCTGTTTGATCTTGGTTGAAATCTTGTAAGAGAGAGAGGTTAAGGGTTGTAACCGTTCTTGATAGAAATAGAAAGTGCAGCGAGCATTCATATTCTGGAGCTCAACGTGGACGTAACTTGTTCAATATTGAACAAGTGAACCACGGTAAATACTGTGTGTTGAATCTATTTGGTTTGCGTTGATTATGTGTTTGTTGGTTGATGTTTGCTTGATTTGTTGAAGATTATTTACAACAACATGCCAAATAAACTAGATTTAAGGATAATAAAAAGAAATGTCCTGCAACAAACAATAATGTTTTTTAGTTAAAATTTTTTTTTTCATGAATCATAAGATTCATATCTTTCAACTTCAAGCAAATTTGATAGAGAACACAGCAAAGATATGGGTGATCTTTATTGCAAATGTTGTTACACTATGTAAAATTTAATAAATGCACAGGACAAAATTTCTTGTTGATACAGCCATCTAAAACAAATTAAAAGTAAAAGTAACATAATCCATAATTAAAAATCAAACAACCTAGGTCAGCAAGAATAATAAGATAAAGAACTTACTGGTTTCTAGCCCAAAGAACCCGAAATTCAAGATCTGGAGCTGCTTTTTTGGTTTTCTTCAAGATCACCTTTTTGCTTCTTGCTCTTCTTTTAGTCCTTTGCTTCTTTTCTCGATTTCGTTATGTACTCCCCTTTGATTCTCCTAAATTTTTTGTCGTGACTTTGTAGATAATGTCAGGGTTAGAGTTTGGGCAAAAAAGGGATGGGGGAAGTGAGCCGTCCTTGGTCTCTTCTTTCTTTATAAAATTGAATTAGGAAAACCAAATCTGAAATAAGGAAAATAAAAAGCACTAAGACTAAGAAGATTCAGAATCCATGCCAATAAAGATAACCATGTCGCTTGTGAGAGAGAAGTTTGGAAACAGAAAACTGTTTTGGGGTTTGTTTATTTTATAAAGAAGAGAGAAAAACAAAAAGAAAGGGAAAGCTAAAAGGAGCCGCTGTCTACTACTTTATATACGCTAGCACCAAAGCAAGGAAATAAGGCAAGGTGCCAAGGTAAAGGCTAAGCTTAGTCGGATGGAGAGAGTGGCTCATCCATCTTTTCGTCTTTTAGACAAGTCTAGTAGGGAGGGAATCTTTCCTTACTTCTTCTCCTAGTGAGTTTAGCGCGTAATACTTAAACAGCCTAAAATGCAATCGTTCTCTCACACTTTAGCTGTGAGTTTGTATTTATAGATAAAAGTAATACTAGCCTTACAAAGAGGTATATAAAGAGCCATACAAAGAGAGAAATCCAGCCCTTGAAATTCATGATTGTTTCTCTCTCTCTCTCTTTCCCATTATCTCTCTCCCTCTCTCTCTTTCCCTTTTTCCAAGGGCTGGATTTGTCTCTTTGTATGACTCTTTATATGCCTATTTGTAAGGCTAGTATTACTCTATAGATAAATATATCAAACAAAATAAATATATACTCTTAGTAAGGAAAGAAAAATAAATGAGCAGGTCTGCCCGAGAGTTTAAGGGGAACATTTGAGAGAAGAGTGCATGGGTTGGAATCCCACTGTCTATTTTTTTAAAAATGGGTTTTTAAAACCTTTGGTCTGTTTTTATTTATTTATTTATTTCATTAATATTTAGCAGCTCCACCAATTATCTTTGCACACACTTTACTCTTAATTTGGAAAAAGAAAAAAAAAAAAAAACCCATTTTAGCGTATTAGAATATATCATAATCCAATAAAAATACAATTCTAAAGCTTTAATATCATAATTCTATAATGAGTAATATTTCTAAGGGGTGTTTATTTGAGCTTATAAAAATTAGCTTATAAGCATTTGAAATTTTAAGCAATTACGTGTTTGGTTAAAGTACTTATAAGTGACTGATAAGTAGTTGACGTGTTTAGTAAAATGTGGCTTATAAGTATATTTTATTATAAAATGACTAAAAAGTGTACTACATTAAACAAAAGTATACTATAAAATTTTAAAATTAAACAAGGATAATGTGATAATATACTTGGTCAAACTAACTTATAAGCAGAGTGCTTATAAGCAAAAAAAAAAAAANGCATCATAAAGGGGGTGAGAAAATATATTTCCAATATTATTTTTTTTTTCTTTTTCTCTGTGGTACAGATTAGGTTTAAGCTAATAAAGTAGTATTATTACCTACTAATGTTTTAATCGAGTTTTATGCTTAGTCATAGCCCTCGAGATCATGCTTGTTTTGGGTTTTAGTAATGTTATAATAAGACTCTCGTTATACTCCAATTCGGTCCTTCCAATTGATTAAATTTTGGTTCAAACATGCACATACTTTGATTGGTTTTAATGATTCCAATAATTGAATCCATAACATTAAAAATTTGATAGTCTTGTGTTAGATTAATCTTGTGCATTAAAATGTGCTATGGAATTTTTTATATATTGTTAAATACATTTTCTAACACTTCTAAGGGTTATGTATATATATATATGCAGAGTTTAATTAAATTATTCTTTTCAAAACAAATAAAAATTGGAATTGTTGTATAGATTATCATTTAATTGGTGGGTTAATATGAATTTTGTGAAGAATTATTGGAGGTACTTTTTATACTGAAAAAATACCTCCTCCTCTCTCGTTTATCTTAATATAAACGTTTATAGATGTATTAAGTTGATAATATTTATATCAAGAATACGTATTTGGGATTTGTAATGTTATTTTATTGGCTAAATTTAAATAAATATGAACGTTATTGAAAATTTTGGCTCTATGACTAAGAAAAAAGTAGCAGATTATGATCAAGTTAAATCCTAATCCAAAATTCCTGAGAAGACAAACGTATCAATGTGGGCTAAAAAATTGATTTCACATATCTAACTTTTGTGTTTGTCTAGTTGTACTCGACGTTCACAACGCTTGAATTTCCATTTGTCGTTTCTGTATTGATGGAAATATTTTATTTTATTATTACAGTCAGCAATCGAAAGTTAGGCAAATGACAAATTCATCACTTTAAAGCAGCCAATTAGATTAGACACTTAACAACCCCAATTTGACTTTATAATTGTGATTAATTTTCCTGATAATGACAATTATTAAAACCCACTTGTTTGCCCATAGACGCCATTTTTCATTTTAGGTGCTCCTACTAATACGATAAATATAAATCTTAATATAGAATTATTAACAGTTTTGAACCTTATCATTAGTTATATTTAGAGCCTATTTGACTAGCTTATCAAAATTCACTTATAAGCTAATTTGAGTTTATAAATATTTAAAATTTTAAGGTTAAAATATTTATAAATGACTAATAAGTAATTGATACGTTTGATAAAATGTGGCTATAAGTACATTTTATTATTAAAATGACATTATATTATTTTATCAATTAATAAATTATACGATAGAATTTTAAAATTAAATAGGAATAATATGGTAATATAAGTGTTTATAAGTTGCAAAAAGAGAAGTACCTCTCCCCCAACTTAATTTTTTTTGCTTATAAGCTTGGCTTATACATCTAAAAAAATTATAAACGAACAGATCAGCTTAATTTTATAACTTATAAACTAGTTTGATCAGCTTATAAGCTCAGACAAACACCTCCATAGTATATAATTAGTTAGTAAATTCACGTTTTATGCGTAAATTATACAGCTAGTCATATAATTCATATATAAAACGTGAATTCACGTATTTTATCTAGACAATCGTATAATTCGTTAATCATATATCCCAGCCGAATTATTCTGGCATTATATAGCCGTATTTTTGCAGACAAAAGTTTATTATTTGATAAGGGAAACGACGCCGTTTTAGGGGGGTTTTTTGTCAACGAAATCCCCTCTTCTTTAGTCTTCTCTTCGTCCCTTCTTCAACTATCAAATACCAATTATCAAATGAAATCAAACAAAAACAGTCGTATCTTTGAATCTTGACCACTTTTATTCTCTTTTGAGTCTTGATCTCTTCTTCTCCTCTTTTTAACTCTCTTTTCCAAGACTTCAAGCCTCAAGTACACACTTCTTCTCTTCTCTTTTTAACTCTCTTTGAATCTAGTATGTTGTTGGAGTGGATTGCTTGTGTTTGTGCATGTGTGTGAGTAGTAGTAGTAGGGGCTGGCTTAGTGTTTTAATTGGATTCTTGATTTGTTATGTTGGTGGATTGATTTGTGTACAAAACATGTTTGATGAAACAAAAATGCTATATCCACCAAAAGATTGGTACCGAACAGTTCAACCGAAATACGTGGACATCACCACGTTGGATAATAGAACATTGACATAAATGGACGGCCGTCCAACGGTTTCGGATGACCGTCCATACTTCCTGAACGGCCGTTCATAGTGGAATGGACGAGGGTCCATAAAAAGTATTTAAAAAAAAAAAAAAAACAATGAACTCCCGTCCAAATTCTATGGACAGGCGTCCCGTTAATATGGACGGTCGTCCAAATTATATGGACGGCTGTCCCAAAAGCGCAGTAGATGGACGCCAGTCCATCTATTGTGGACGGTCGTCCATCTTATAGGGATGATCGTCCGCATGAGATGGA